CATTAAATCTGCAACTTGAAAGGACCTCAACTGATAAATTCAGGTCTAGTCCTAAATACCCGTGCAGCAGGCAGTGGACACCCCTCTGTGTGCTTATGGGACCTCATCAGACAGTGCCATTGGCACTAAAATTGTATCGTGACCTTCAATAACCTTTTTTCTGCTCAGGTTATTTCTTAATAATTGAAATTATAGATTAAAGTAGCAGGAGACAGTTACATAAAAGGAGTCAAGCACAGAAGCATTCACTTAGAAAATCTCCCCATGCACTTAGGAATGCTGGTATTTCTTTCATCCATTTGAATGGCCAGATCCTTTAAGATAATGTCAGGGCTGTGGGTTTTTTGTTGGCAGAGGAGCTGAGAGAGGCGAGCCTGCCCCCGAGCTGTCCGTATCCTGGGGCTGCCTGCCCTGGCTGGCAGTGTTTGAGGGTTGAGCACAGCCTTGTGGGGAAATCCTCCCGGAGCTGGCACCCTGCAGGAAACAGCTTCTCCCTGCCTAAGACTGAAAATATAACTCTGGGAAATCTACCATTTTTAGGGAGGGATGCTGCTCTGAAGAGGGATTTACCCCATCAGTGGACCTCCCGGGGACCTACGGTTCAGGAAGGATTCTGGCCACAACCCCTTTGAATTCCTCGTGGGAATCCCAGCAGAGCCAAAGATAAATTGTCCTGAATTAATTTAATTCCTGAGCTTGTGTCAGGCTAGTGGTGCAGCATCACAAGGACTCCCCACAGAACAAGGAGTCACTTCGTTAAAGTTGGTCATTCAGTGCTCTGATAAAGTCATCAAAGCCTCCCAGCTGCTTTCTCACCCTGCTGCTCCTTCTCTACATAAAAACATTAGGATCCTGGCATAGACGGAGCCGTTGACACTTTGTCACTGAAAACGCAGAACCGTGTGAGTAAGAGAAATGTTTTATGGGAACTATAAATAGTTTTGCATTAAGGCAAATATATTCTCCTGCCTAAAATAGATTCACCTTGCAAACAGCTTAAGGACACTTTCAGTGCCAGAGGAATGCCAGAGGAATGCCTTCAGAACCCGCTTAGGAGACAGAAACAGCCCTTTCCCCCCCCCCCAAAAAAAAAACTACAAACAAGACTGGAAACCCCTGTGCTGCTGCTCCTCCTCTCCCAGCTCCCCAGGGCTGAGCAGCACCCGCGGTGCTTGGGTGTCAGCCGGGGGCACCGGTCAGCGACCTCCCACCCAAGAGGGATGTTCATTGGTCCGACTTAACTTTTCCAGTCGTTTTTTCCAGGCGCTTGCTCCTTACACGGGTGAAGGGGATGAGGAAACTTTGGGGGAGGGGGGGATCAGTGACTTCCCGCGGTGGCTGGGAGCAGCGGGATGCTTCCCCTTCGCTCCCAAAGGGATCCTGCAGCCAGACAATGCAAACACCCTCTCCGCCAGAGCTGCAATGTGTTAGCAGCGCTCCCCCCTCGCCGCCCGATTTTCCAGGCGCTTGCTCCTTACACGGGTGAAGGGGATGAGGAAACTTTGGGGGAGGGGGGGATCAGTGACTTCCCGCGGTGGCTGGGAGCAGCGGGATGCTTCCCCTTCGCTCCCAAAGGGATCCTGCAGCCAGACAATGCAAACACCCTCTCCGCCAGAGCTGCAATGTGTTAGCAGCGCTCCCCCCTCGCCGCCCGAGCATCATTTCGCTCCCTGCGGAGAAACGGCAGGCGGCGGGGGAGGGGGGGA